TTGAGATTTCATTCATTCTAAAAATTCGGAATCTATCAAACTAGCTTCATGAGAATCAAGATTCAAAACTGAACATTGGTAACACTGAAGAGCTTAAAAACATATATTTAGATATAAAGGGTATTAAAATTAAAAGGAAATGCCAGAATATGCAGGAAATGTTAAAGTTTGAAAATGCGAATGAAGTTAATAATGAAGTAAAGTAGTAGGATAAGTCATGGTAAGAGTACTACAGAATGATAAATTGTAGAATTGGCAAATTAAAATAGTACTATAAAATATGGACTAAGTAAGGGCTATTCAACGAATTGGATATGAATAACAGTTAAAGGTTGTAAAATAAAATGCTTAATTGAAATCTATCTCTATGTTTAAGAAATTTAAGCATGTTAATTTAGCTGAAATAGTAAAATAAAAAGTGCAATTACAATCACAAATTGTAAAACAGAGTTAAATTTTAGAGTATGTTGGAAACTAGAAAGAAACCCAGTGTCAGAAAAGTATAACAATGACATCTAAAATTATCTAAAGTTCATGCGTATGGTAGGAAAATGTAATAAACAAGTTCAAAATTAGAGTACTTTAAAAATTACGAAGGTATAAAATGTACGAAACATGTTAAAAATAATATCTAAAATTAAATAAAGCTCATATACATAGGTAAGAAAACAGAGGGATTAAGCTAAAATTAAGAGCCTGTTTGAAATTAGGAAGGTTAAAACATATAAAAGTCGTTACAAATTAAATGAAAGTCATGTGAAAATATAACAAATTAGTTAACATTCTTAGTATGTTGGAAACTAAAAACGATAAAAAATAAAAAAGGAGTTAAATTTTACATCTAAAATTAAATAAGTCAGGTATATGGTAGAAAAATGTAATAAACAAGTTTAATATTAAAGTAAAATGTTTAAAATTAAAGTTTAAAATTCAAAATTACGAAGGTTCAGAATGAACGAAACAAGTTAAAAAATAACATCTAAAATTAAATAAAGCTCATATACATAGTAAGAAAATAGAGGTATTAAGCTAAAATTAAGAGCCTGTTTGAAATTAGGAAGGTTAAAACACATAAAAGTCGTTACAAATTAAATGAAAGTCATGTGAAAATATAAAAAATTAGTTAAAATTCTTAGTATGTTGGAAACTAAAAACGTTAAAATATAGAAAAGAAGTTAAAATTTACATCCTAAAATTAAATAAAAGTCAGGTATATCATGTGAAAATATAGCAATTATGTTAAAATTAGGACTATATTGGAAATTATGAAGGTTAAAATGTATAAGAGAAATGAAGTAAAAGTCATGTACGTAGTGTGAAAATATAGCAAATTAGTTAAAACTCAGAGTATGTTGGAAACTAAAAACGTTAAAAAATAGAAAAGTTAAAATTTACACATAAAATTAAATAAACGTCAGGTATATGATATGAAAATGCAGGAATTATGTTAAAATTAGGACTATATTGGAAATCATGAAGGTTAAAATGTATGCGAGAAATCAAGTAAAAGTCATGTATATAGTGTGAAAATATAAACTGGTTAAAAATTTGAGTATATTAAATAGTGTGAAGGTTAAAATGTACAAAACAAGCTAGAAATGTTACATCTAAAATTAAATACAAGTCATCTATATGATTAGAAAATGTATGAAATAAGTTAAAATACAGAATATGTTGAAGATCGCTAACGTTGAAAAGAACGAAAAAAGTTAAAAATTACATCTAACATTGAATAATATAATACACGAAAATGCGTGTTTTAGTAATTACACTCATAAAATATAACGAATAAGTTAAAAGTATTGCCTAACAAGTCTGAAAAAACTCTGGGTAAAATGAATTTAAGAATAAAAATGAGTAATGTAATGAAGATTACGGAAAGTATATGTGATATTATGAACAGAAGATTTAAGAAATAAGGTAAAATTCTGAGTGTATAGGATCACTCAATCATTAAATTCAGAAATAATCCTCATTCACGGTAACTAGGACATAATCATCATATACGTAGGAAAACAGTTGGAATACGAAAAAAAAACACAAAGGATAAAAATTTATTAACGAAGGGAAATCACCTCCGATAAATCAGTAAAATATAATCCCTTATTAAATTGTTATGACATGTAGCAGTTTTGCAGATATTCAGTCATAGGATAAATACAAGTAAGAAAATAATTATCTTAAGAGGTTATACTGTGAAGGAAACATTTCATTTTATATCTGTTTAAGGAAATGAACTATATCATTCACTTAAAACACCTACTTGATATATGCTTTCAAGAATTCAATATAAATAAGTACACATTATCATATAACTAGTCAATGCTTAAATCACCAATTAAAAAATAATAAAACCAAATTAAAAAGAAAATAATCTAAGCACATATCTTTTTTCTATGACGTAGCAACTACTCTACTCGCATCCGCTTTCTGATAAGGCTCCCTGTCCCCATTTTCAGATAAGCCTCCCTCCCACGACTCAGCCTTCCTTTTCGGGAGCTCCCTCAACTCCAGGTCCCTAAGATCCCGAGCTGGAACTCTCATTTCCCCTACTAGTGCATATGTCAGGTCGTGCCGTACGTGTAAGTTAAATAACGATGTTAATTACAGCCAGGGTGGTTCACACATTGATCGACTGGGAGGCATCTCCCGGCGTTCTGGCTATGACCTGAACCTTGACAAACTCCGCTCCTGGGGTAAATAATGTCTTGAGCAGAGCTAAGCGTGGCACGACAGGAGCACCTCCAGCAGAACACCTCCTAGGTCTAGCTAGTTACACTACTGATTAATTATTCTGTGTGCAAACGAGAGCTCCAGAGTTTAAAATGGCAGCTATAAAAAATATTAAACGAAGCAGTGAAAAATTCGAATATGGCAAGGGAAAACCAGAAGCTGTAGTAAGACAGAAAAAGGGGGGGATGAATTACAAGGTGGAAGTCAAAGTGCTCAAGGTAAAGCATTCACTATTATGTGGTGGGGGAAACAGGGTAGCCAAATTTTGTGGACTGTTTCAATGCCGTACGTAACTGAAAGAATTGGAGGAACAGTAGTTTATTTAAAAGATAGAAAGGGTAACATACAGTGGTAAACATAGAATAGAAGATGCAAATATTCAATAAGATATTTTTCAGTAGCAACAAGAAAAACCAGAGCCAGCAAGAGTGGTAGAGCACAACTGGCTTCCAAAGTGAACGTTCCGTGTAGAAAAAGACGGGAAACCAACAAACGGATGAACAGCTAAAAAGGTATAAGCACGCAACCGTAATTGAGAAGGAACAAGTTGCCAAGAAAGCAGCCAAAAAGAAAGGAATCCGGTAAGTCACACGAACAACCAAAGGATGTTTAGCGTACACTAAGAGCCTGAGAAGTAGTTGCACTGTCTGGGCCCAAGTACAGCGAGGAGTCAACACCGAGGGTTCTACGCAACACATGTCCAGCTGAACAACCTCCAACGGGCATATCAGACCGCGAAAATCTACACCTACAGTTAATTTGAATTCCTGCAGAAAGGCTCAGCAAGACACCAGAGGACACGAAGTACTCTCAACATCTACATCTAGGGAAGATGCCGAGAGTCAAGATGACCCCAAGATAATTAAAGCCCTGATAGAGGAGGAGACTCAGCCCCGAAGAATCCGAGTAAATAAGCAAACGTCTACCCCACTTGGCAGGAGTTCGTGAATAAGCGAATGAAGGAGTACAGAAAAACAAAAAGATAAATGGGAATTTAATTTCTGTTCACTGAGATTCAGTTTTATTTTGTGTGCAAAAGTGGAAGAGTTGTTGTTCTGTTTCTGAATTTTGCCTCAAGTGAAGCCATTTCAGTTGTTTATGTAGCAAGAAACTCGGAAGTAAAATTGCAATTATTCATATTCATTCTAATTTAGTTTAGAAACAAGAACTGTGTTTTAGTCAAAGAGGATGCGAGGAAATGTTAATGAAAATATAAATAAATCTTGAGCAACTTATGTATTTTGATGTAAAACGCAAGCTGAATTTCCTAATTTAATGTATTGTAAATATTTCATTTATGTAGTATATATAATATTTTGCATTATAAATATAAAAGTAATCTTAAATATGTTTGTGAAAGTAAAATGAAGGCTTACATAGGTGTAAGAATTAAATTTGTATACTATGAATAAGGCCTTTAAATGCAAGCTAACATATTTAAGAGAAATTTAAGTTAGAAATGAAAGCTAGCCGTGTGCATGGGTTTAAGGTTAGGCTGTCCAGCCAACAATAAAGTTTAAAGCACGCTCTTATTAGAACATTAGGTGCAGTTTTGAAATTATGGTGTTTCTCAGGTCTAGTGTATCCGAATTTCCAGCATGTAGGTTGTGGGCTTGGCAGTAGATTTCTGTCACCGAATACAAAAGACATCGGCTCGACCTTGACAGTACATTTTTACTCGAGAGCAGCGAGAAAGAAATTTTATTGATAGAATAGATTAGTTCAACGAAACTTCAAATAAAATTTTAATGAAATGTTTAAATAAAAAAGGTTTAAAAGAGATAATGTAAATTGAAGTAATGTACTATGGTTTGGTATTTTATGCTAAAGTCCGTTTCCTTCCAGATAAAATTTTAAATTGTAAGGTCTCGTCAAAGAAATATTTAATGAAGCAAAGAAAGAGAAGAGATTATCATTATTTATTTTTAAGTTTTGTCCCACTTGGAAAGCTTTCGAAATTTGTTTATTTCAAGGCATTTGTTCAACACATTATAACTGTTTGAAATAAATGTCAGTCTGAAACTTAGTATTTAGCTATCAATATGTTTGAAATAATCTGTTGCAGATGCCAATCTCAAAACTGAATTAAAGAATAAAATAAAACAAACTTCCTTTTTTTTTTTGGAGGGAAGTGGGTTTTCCCTTCAGCTACTTTCGGATAGTGCATTCGATCCGCATACAGTTTGAAATTGAGACCATTACTGAAGAGGTATAAAAAAGATTTAAAATCGCTGCCTTAAATTTATCAAAAGTGGATGAATACTCACCTTAATAAGTTCAGCCCGAGAAGAACTTGGAAATGTTTCGCCGTGAGATCGTACTCGTGTATACCAGATATAAAGCTATTGCTGACCAGGGACAAGGCGATCAGTATTCTTGGAGTGTCTCTTCCCCAATCGCCATATTTGTCACGTGCATTTAGGAGCCACTGCACAGCCTTTGAGATAACGCTCGAGTACTCTCGGGTTCCGTATATTCTTGCGTAATCCGTCGCGAAATGGAAAGGCTTGAAGAATTTCAATCTGCTGGAGTAAATGCTTGGTATCAGAGAAGGATGGGTAAGGGGGAAACTGGTACTTCTCGTTGTCGTTTCTGGCCAGCGTGGAGAAGGTGGTTGTGTAGACGGCCTTTCTGGACGTGTCCTGACACTTGAAGTTTCTGGACTATTTGGACATGGTGATGAGGATGGCCTCGTAGGCCGTCTTCTTTTAGGTATCCAAGTACTTGTCGTTGTCGTTTCTGGAATAGATGGATAGGGTTGTGTAGGTGTAAAGGGTGTCTGTGACGGCATCAAGGGAGGTCTTTTAGTAGTTGTTGTTATCACTTTTGTAGTCGTCATCGTCCAAGGATCGTATTCGGGCGTTGTTTCTATATCACCTGTTGGAAAAGTACATCTTATTAAGTTTGTTGAAATGCAAAATTAAGTTTATATACTTGCAACATCTCTGTTCGTGGTCATTCCTCATTAATGAACATTGAGGATTTACATTAATGAATTTCGATATAGAAGATTCAGCGCATTGCCTACTATCCCTGGAACACGGATGTAGATGAAAAATTGCTCTCGCATTTAGCGGACATTCGCTGATAACGGACGAAAGCTTTAATCCTCTGAATGTCCTCTAATGAAAGGATTTCTCGGAGACAGAAATTCATTTGCAAGTTTCGGAGAGAGAGAGCAAAAGTTTCGATTATTTTCAACTTCGATTAGTATTGCAGTCTTATGTCATAGTGAAAGTCTTTGAGACTCCTTGAATATTTCTTGTGGTTGTATTACGCATCCGTTAGTGCCCTGGCATAAAAATGCACCAATTCCAAATCTGGTTCGACGAAGCGAAAAGGAAGGAGAGAAACTCGACAGAAGAAGGAAGGAAAGGAAAAAAGAGCGGTAATCAAGGGGAAAATAATGGAAAGGTGGGGAAAATGTCTAAAACCAGTTTATTCTGAGAAGTAAACAAACCAATTTACTACAAATGTGTTATGAGAATTAAATAAGTTCAATTACTCAACAAATCTAGAAGCATTTAAAAGTTCTTGTCTTTCATGAGTCTCAGATGTAAAAATGTAAAATGACTAGATTTGTGCAGATGGACTAACTTGTGTCAAGAATCTGGGATTCCGAGATATAAACGTTGAAGTATATATGAGAGAAAAATAAACTTTTATTCAAGTTATTCTACGTGTGATTCAAAACTCTTGTATGTGAATCGAGACTCTACAACGGCGACCCCGGAAATGGATTATAAATTTGTGTGCGTTGAAGAAACAGTGAAAATCATCAGGTATTTTCATTTATATATTTTAATAATCTGATTCATTGACGGGGATTTCATTTATATTTGAGTGACGTAAGTAGCTGAAAGTTTCACCATTTTTACACCGTTCCTATTTAAGTCCTTACGCAGCCTTTATTTTTGCAATTGTTGATTGTACACATATACAATGATACCTCGCATATAAGTGTTGTTGTATTTACCAAGCATTCTTATTCACTGAGTAGGAATTAGGTGGTACAAGGTGACCAAAAACGCTCTTGTCTTTCATGATTGTCACGAACAGACAAGACATACAGCGACTGGACTCAGCGTTATGTTTCGAAATAGTCTCCATCAGCATCCAGCACATTTTGCCAAAATTCCTGCACTTGTGTAATGGCCTGGCGATAAAACTCGGGAGTCTATGACGCAATGAATTCCTTGAGTGCGTGCCACAGGTCTGCTTTCTTGTCAAAGGATTTTCCATGGAACTAGAGCGCAGAGAATGAAACAGCTGATACGTCTGGTCAGAATAGTGGATGGCTCAGTGTTTCCCAGGCAAGTCTCTCAGTGGCATTCTAGTCGTTAGTGTCATGTGTGGTTTTACACTGTCGCAGAGGTACAGCACACCCTTGCTAACCAACGCTGGATTCTTCTGCTGCAGTGTATATTACACCTGTTGCAACTGCTCCGAATACAGGTCTTCAGTCATGTTTCGGCTTAATGGTAGTAATTTATAACCCATAAATTGGTGACTAGTCATCAGACACTGCGTATATTCTTAAGAGATTGCAGTGATGGTTTGGAAGAATGTTGACAACCAATGCCTTGTCTTATTGAACCCACGATTCTTAACTCCTGATTATTCGAACAAATACATGGATGTGTTTCATTATCGACATAGTAAATGACAAGCAGGCTGTGACTCGTGCTTGCTTGTTGGCTGCGACATTGTGTGTGGTACCTACCTATTCAACTTGTACATCTTCCTTGCGGTAAAAATGAAGTCTGTCTCCTTGGAAACCTTGGAGCGTTTAGCAAGTTCACTACATGTTGTCCTCCTCTGTGGTTGCCTTCAAGACCTCAGTATCCAACACTTTTGGTCACCCACTGTGGAGTTCATAAAGTCTCAGATCTCTCGACCTGAACTTCTAGAACAGTGGTGGCGAACCTACGGCACGCGTGGCACAGTCGGCAAGCCGAGCCTCCTCAGCCGGCACGGGATTAAAATATTACTTTCTTAATCAATAATCACAATAAAATGATACTATGTAATTGAAATAAGTGTTTTAGTTTGTTCTGGAACGTTTCACTTACTATCTTATCGCATTATGACACTGGCATAGGGCCTAAGCCTAGATATAAGATTTTTAATATATCGCCATAGAAATAATATACGTATTTAAGGCGTTTTAATTGTTTGGGTCAATTATATTACTTGTTACATGGCACAGAATACGCCAAACTTAAAGCAGTTAAAGTTTGCTAAACGAATTCAAACTTATTGCAGACTGCCGGTGAGTTTTAATACTTTCATTGTTAAATAGATTTCAGTTTTCAGATCTAAGCATTTTGAGGTAACTTATGAATAATTTTAATTTAATATCTTAAACGGAATGGCACGTGGCCATTCCATTTTGGGCACGCAGCCCCAAAAAAGTTCGCCAACACTATTCTAGAATCAAGACCTGGAGGTGCGTTCGTCCATGGTATTATCCCCAAATGCCTAACACAGTCAAGGAATCCATTGATGAGAAGATATATCTTAAATTAAAACAGGAAACAGCCGCGAAGGACCTGCTTCGATAGCTCCGACATTAGAATGAGCTATGATTGCTGTGTGTGCATAGCGTGCCTGTATTAGTGCATGTCAATGGTTACACTAACCTTTTACCGCTTCTTCTGCGGATGAATCACTTTGTTTCCTCTTTGTGAGCTCTGTAGCTAGATTCAGCAGTACCTCAATTACCTAAGGTACTACATAGGTGCTGGCCTGGTTTCTACCTGTACATGTGCGTACTTCATGATATTGAACATCAAAAACAACAAGAACGTTTTTGTCACCTTATATTTAAATTTATGTTTTAATACTTACTAAAAGATCTAATTCGTCATCAGGTTAAAGTAATTGTTTTGTGTGCATAGTCGTTAGTTTGAACATTTAATTGTCTCTCAAAATAGAAGCTAGAAAACCTAATTCCTATTCTTCAAACTAGAACGTTGCAGATTTTTTTTTTTTTTTTTTTTTTTTTTGGTTTTTTTTTTTTTTTTTTTTTTTTGTTTGTTGAAATTGATACTTACAACCTTCTTCATCCGATCCATCCAAGCAATCGAAGTAAGAGTCACATTGGACGAAGATGGGCACACAGCGTCCATCCGTGCATAAGAAATGAGTGTTGGCACAATTGTTTGGATCCGGATTGTACCCTGAAAGAGTTTTTTATTTTAAAATTCCAGAGTATTTTTGTTTTATACTTTCATTAACATTGATAAAAATCGTTTAGAAGGAGAAAATGTCCCTTCGCATAAAAAAAGACGGCTGAAGACGCAAGGTAAAAAGTGCTCATCTTTACTCTCATTGGCTATATGTCACGTGATACAGTTATAAGGTATTTCTCCCGCCTACTTGGCATGCCTTCGTGTTGTGGTGGTCCGCACGCTCAGCGCGTAATTGAGGAGTCCGCGGTTTGATTCCCGGGAAAGGCGTTGCATATTTTACATCTTTCCTGCTTCCAAAATACCTAATGTCTCTACAGTGGCGCTCGAACTAAAAGGGTGTTGGATGATGATTCTCCTCACCCAGAATTTGGCGATTGGGTCCCCTAAAAACACCACTCTTCCTTTACAAGGGGGAGTATATAAGGTATTTCTCCCGCCTTCTAGGCTTACTTTGTGGCGTGATGGTATGCACGCTCAGCGCTTAATTGAGAGGTACGCGGTTCGATTCCAGGCGAAGGCGTTGCATATTTTTCATCTTTCGTTCTTCCAAAATACTTAATGTCTCTACACAGTGATTCATCGGTATTAGGTAAACATACTTTATAACGCTCGTTTAGGTGCCATTTTCCCGCCAACTCTCACCGCACTACCATTAGATTCCTTTCATTGCAGTTTAAGAAATTAGATGTATATATTTATTATAGCTAATCGTATGTGGGGCCTGTCTACCTTAAATAGTTATTATAAAGAAGAAAATATATGTAATGATTTGAATGAATCCATCTGAGTGTCATTGAATGAGTGCTATTTCAGGGGTTGAGCTAGTAGTTAATAATAATGGAAGTGAAAAACCTGTATTTATTGCTTTGAAGTCGCTTAGTTTGTTAATCAGTTCCAGAGGGATCAATATGTTATGAAAAATTAAACGTATTACGCTTTACCGAATGGCAACACAGTGGCTCTTGAAAGATAAAAGTGTTTTATTTCGGATAGGGGCAGCGGCAACACATTTCCTTCTTTCTGTCTTGTTTACAGATCGCTGAGTCTGTTCATTCAATCTGAAAGACTCTTACGCTTTGCTGAATGACAACACAGTTCATTTAAATCACTGAATTTATTGGTTCATTTAAAAAAACAAGCATCTTACTTTCTGTCGAGAGACAATACATCGCTACAATTAATCTATAATAATTTACATACAATTAATCTTTTCTTAATCTAATCTTCGATCTAAGTTTCTTTATGATCGCACAAAATGTGCAGAGGATGTTTACATATATTTAGACTGATTTCGGGATCCTTTAATTAAATATTACAAAGTAAATAGTATTTTCTTAAATATTTCATTTGATAACTTTTTTCTAAATTATAAATTCGCATCAGGATTTCCATGATCGGAAAGCTTTTCGTAAAATTTCTATTCCTTTCCTAAAAAAGAGTATTGATTTCTAGTCTTCTACCACTACTTTCCAGACTTCATCAATTGAGGTGAGTTTGCGCTTAGAAAAAGCTCTTTCCAAAAGACCAAAGTCCACACGTAAAACGTCAGGGGATTTTCTAAGAATACGTTGAAAAAACATATAGGCAATGCATGTATGAGTTTTATTTATTTTTTTTTTCAAGGAATGAGTTGGTACGTTTCGAAGCATGACTTGTTGCTTTGTTTTGATGACGTTTTATTTACTCTCTGAAAAAAATCATTCGGATAACAAAATGAGATTTTATCTGCAAATATCGGACTTCAAACTTTCTCTTGTTAGTATTCGAGCTCATTTTAATCCTTTTTTTTCACTTTTCTTGTTTTTAATTTCCCATTGTAAAGGAGACCTGCGACCATCATAAACCCCTTATTGAAACTTTCTTTGCATTTGACGGAAACAGTTCTGTACAATTTTTTGTCTTTGTTTTCGATAATAAATAGACCTTTTTTGTAGCAGGTTTGTTTTGCTCCATCATTATTAATTTAACTTAACCAGTGCTTCATCAAGGGTCAAATGTATTTCCATCTATCTCCTGCTAAACATTTTTTATGCAAGGTTTTACAAATTGTTCTGAGTTGATCGACATGCTCGCCAAAAGCCTGTGAACACTATGTTTTTATCATTTTTAAGTTGTAAATCTTGGTTTATTATTTTATTTATTGTTGTTATAGATGTATTTAAATACTTTGCAACTGATTTCCTCTCGGAGAATTTTCTTTAGTTACCAAGGGTTTAAATTTAGAAACATTAGAAACAGTAAGTAACTTTTTCGAGTATTTGTTTATAATCTTCTTTCCATGCAGAAGCAATGATTGAATGTTTTTATTTTTCAATCAATAACGTTGCTTATTTTGCACTTCGAAATTTTAATACGATGCATTTCACAACGTTTTTTAATTATGAAATAAGAATATTTCTCTTCAGAAAGCGCAGAAACATGCGCCTTAATCCACAACTTCTTTACATGACCATTGTATTGTCAGTCTATAACTCTAAACTAACGAAATTCCAACTTTCAGCAAGTAAATTCTAAACATACAATTTAACATTTTCAAAAACAACCTATTCTACAGTACAAATATGAAAGTTAATACGATATTTTTCACCATGGAATAATATAAACATTTTAAAGAACATAAACTAATTCACAATGCTACAATCTGACTTACTCTTTAAACAGTTCTATTTTCATATAAGCATAATTTTTAATAAGAACACAATAACATAAAGCTAAACATAGTTATTCTACATAGGTAATAAACAAATTTTACTAATAGATCGAATATATACACCATTTGATGTTTTCACTATAACAAGTCTGGTTTTATTATCTTTGTTCGAGGGATTAATTAATGTCAAAGTCTGACACGCATGTTCATCTATATTGTTAAACTTTAAGGATAGAGCCGCCCAGTTGGTATAGTGGTTAGGGAAGCCTGAATGCGATACCGAAGGGTCTGGGTTCGAATCCTGGAGAAGGCAGGGTTGTAACTGTCCGTCCCTTCATAGGAGACGATGGTGGGCCAACTATTAGGTGCCTCCATAATAAAGAGACCACCACATCTGGCCTTGTATAGATTTAATGGACTATGTTACATTGTAACTGTTCACAATCTGCCACTGGAAAAAAAAACTTATGGATAGAAGTCACTGATTAAATCTCATTTTTAATTTTTTCAACCTGGTGCAGTTTATCCATCTGTAGTAGGGAACCTCGGTTCTACACCCACCATTACGTATAACTCTCAAAGTTCTTCAAAGAACACAAATCTTCAAATACAATAAGTTATGGCCCAGGTAACCAGATGCTCGGGAGTCCAGGTCTCTGTCTACCTAGTCCAAAAGAGGAATATGTCTAAACAGTAAGTTGAACATCGGTGTTTTTTTTTTTTTTTTTTTTTTTGGGTGTGTGTGTGTGTGTGTTTTTGTGTTGTTGTTGTTGTTGTTGTGGAAAATAAGGTAAGCCAAAATTACTCTTCTTTCCTTGGTTTTTCCTGAAAGTATATGCATCAGATGAACATAATGAACCCAAATATATAAATTGAGAAATTGAATAACAGTGATTTTGAAATATGGCATTTTCAAGTGAAAATGGTTTTAGTCCAGTCAGAACTTTGGGATGTCGTCAGTGGGCAGATAGTCAAGACAGAAACATCCTAAAGTAACTTAGACCCACCAGCGGCCGAGCGGTAACGTCACTGAACACTGGTAGTTCGGTCCGAGGTTCGAATCCCGCGAACGGGCTGGCTGCATGGGCGTTTTCGTGGTTTTCCCCGTGTGTAATGTGTATACGAGCCAATTTCCCTTAGAAAGTCCTCCACGAAGGCATCCCTCTCTTAAGGCAGATAGCCCTCGAGTGCTTTGTCGTAATCTAATAAAACAAAACAAAAAACAAAACAAAAAAAAAAAAAAACCTAAAGTAACTTAGCCGAATTCCTCCACAAGTGGAATTCAAAAGACCATAATCTTTAGCAGTTATTGCTCTGAGCGTGGTCAAACCTCGTACGAAGTATGGATGAAATTACATACATCAGCCTAAAGTTACTTAAGTTACTATTACTAAAGTTAGTCTCATGAAGCAGCTTATCTCAAGGATGAACACGAACGAAAACATGCAGGAATATTTAACTTCTTCGAAGTTGTTGATAAATTAGCTGAAATTGGATCTGAAATTCCAGAAGAATTTCTTACCGTTTTGCTATTATGTAGCTTAACCGAAGAATTTGAAAGTTTTAGACTTAAACACGCTAAAAGTTAAGTTACTAGAAGAAGCTATTAAACCGCAAGAAAACAGCCAAGCTCAGGATGCGTTAGTTACTAAATATTATGGCAACGAGAAAAAGTCTAAAAAGTATAAAGTAATAAACCTTCAAGTGTTATAATTGTAACAGAAAAAGCCACAAAGCACCGGAATGCAGACAAACCAAAAACAAAAATCCTAACCAAGAATCCCCTAAAGCAAATTCTCTCACGATTGTGAATACAACGCGAGAATTAGGAACACATAAATGATACCTTGATTCGGGAGCAACTGCACACATGTGCAATGATAAAAGTATATTTATGTCAGTAACTGATACAAAAAGTGAAGTTCAGTTAGCAAATAAGGACTTTTTATAGATTAAAGGCAAAGTTGAAATTTATGCAAGTGTTTATTCAAGTTCATACTGCCTAATACTTAATGATGTATCATATATTCCCAACCTAAAAATGAACTTAATTTCAGTTAATGTAGCAACGCAACGTAAATGTACTGTTTACTTTAGAAATAACCATGCGTGGATTAAAGACAAAAATTAACGCGTAGTTTTATAAGCACAAAAGTAAACGCGTATTTTTATAACCACAAAAATAAACGCGTAGTTTTATATGCACGAAGCAAAATGGTCTATATGTTGTAAGCCAACAAGATGTAACTGAGGTTTCAAATGTGGCAAAGGGTAAAATAATTCAAACAGTAAACTGAAATTATGGCACGAGAGATGTGGTCACTTAAATCTAGCCTACTTAAAAAGAATGCATTCCCACAAGTTGGTAC